AATGGAGCTGCACTGTGTTGGTGTGGCCTTGCCGATCGAAACCCTGAACCAATGAATCAACCTTGAAGTCTTGACCGCGCATCAGTGTGCCTGTTGCAGCCCGCACAGTTCCCCTGCCGTGCCGCGTTCCCTGCGGCCCTGTTCCCTGCAGTTCCTGTCCTGGCACATTCGGGAAGAGACGCATTCGTGGAAGAAGCTCAAGTGTTGCGAGCACACACTCACTTTAGAAATCGTAGAGTTTCGGATGCTTTGTGAATCCTTGAGCTCAGAAATCCTACTACCGAACAGCTCGGACCTGGGCCAGGTGTCAGGACCCATGTAATGCTACGAACACATTGGGGCGAATCCTCCCGACCTCATCCCTGCCCTTTAAAACCTATTCTGAGTGAGGGGGTGAGTGAGTGAGTGAGTGAGTGTCGACTAGCACTTACGGTAAAACCTATTCTGAATTAGGGGGAAGGATTTGGCGGATCCAAATACACTTAGGTAAGAGCAGGAGCAAACGCGGGAGCAAGAGCAGGAGTTAGAGCAAGGAGCAAGAGCAAATGCGGGAGCATCAGCAAGAGCAGGAGCAAAAGCGGGAGCAACAGCAAGCAGGTGCAAGAGACGCAGCAGAAGCAGGAGCCCCTCAAAAGTGGCAGTAGAGGTGAACATACCCCCCAAAAAAAAAACACATTCCGACATTTCATTGGAGGGGGGCCGTTGACGATTAGGGGGTAGGGATTACTACTGGTCTTGGAAAAACTAGCTCAAGATTCCTGGTTGTCCCCTAATCTCTTTCCCTTAGTTTCATTTACGGGCCCTGGAATTGCAAAATCCCTGTCGAACAACAGTGCATAGTAGGAGGATATATCTTTCAGGGAAGCGATTACTACTGCTTTTAGTTTGACTTCTTCTTCGGCTAGACCGACCCCTGCGACTGCTACCAGGTGCTGGATGGAATTGGGAAAGAGCTCGCCGAGGCTGTGCTCTGTTCGGGTGATGCGGATGTCAATTCCCTTGGTCCTTTGATTGTAAGAGGATGCGGGTTAGGTTTCTTGGGTGAGTACTCTGAGAAACCTGTGAAGTTGAAGTCAGGCAATTTCATTGCTGGGTGGCAGGTTGCATTGGGGGCTGGTCGTGCTGATAGAAGGCTCGAAGCGTCCAGACTTGCGAGATATGCGTGTAAAGGCAGGTGAGGTAACTAATTAGTCCGGCCAGGACTGGCGCAGCAGCCGGGCTGCCGCCGAGGCGGCAGCACGCGGCGCTGCGAACCAGCGCCGTGCGCAGCGGGCCAGGTGGCGATGGCTGGATAATGTTTTTGGTTGTCTGCATGAGTGTAGACATTTACAAGTCGTTGGTAAAAGTGCCCCGGCTGGAACTCTTGTTGCGTGCCCACGCAGAGGCTGAGCTCCAACAGCAAGGCTCGCGAGGAGACTGCACGTGGCCTGGCCTCAGTAGTTTCCTTCGTGCAGGGGAACATATACAGAATGGACTGGTGAAAAATGAAACATGTGCAACCCAATCAAATGTTTTAGTTGTTGCCTGAACGGCCCTGCAACAGCATGATGCAGACATGTGATGTCAGGTGATCAACCAGGGTCGAGCTTCGAAAAACAAGCAAGCTCATTGCAGCCTAGCCCCGAAGCAAAGCACAGGCCACGCGATTGTTCAGAGGCAGTATGCCAAGGTGATGCAGAACCTCGAGGCAGGGTACGGAAGGGTGCTTATTGTGCTCGGCAACATCAGCAACTAGCGACACAAGAAATGCTTGTGCCGAGAGCTGCTTTTTTGTTTCAGAATCCGAAGAAACGTCGCTTAAGTCGCGGCCGGACACACGCTCTTTTGGACACGATCGTTGCTATTGTAGACATGGCACGACCGGTCTTTCTCATCTACAAACGTACCCTGCATGTACACCTGTGTGTGTTCACACATGCCTGGATGGATGGTTGGTGGCTAGATGGATAGCTAGCTATGTAGCTATGTAGCTAGCTAGCTAGGTAGTAGGTGTGAAGGTCGGCAGGTAAACTGGTACTTGTAGGTGCAGGCAGGTAGGTTGGTTAGATATAAGCATACACAGAGAGATATTGTGTTTGTACATTTGCATGTGTGCTCGATGCACTCATTTATGAAGCCCTGTCGGCCAGGCCTGCCGCGCACGAACCGCAGAAGATGAGGACCCATCGTAACGTAACAATGCCAAACCGGTTGCGGAAGGAGTAGGGAGTGTGTGCAGGTTTTTGTGGGGACTATTGCCAGTCTGCTTTTGAAATGCTACAGCCACTTCAGACCTGTTAACGACGAGCTTGGTCATTTAGGAGCACCATGAACCGTTTCAAAGTACTCCGACTGCTGCAGAGCATCGAGCTGCTTTGCAAGGAAGCTTTGCAGACGGCGCAAGCTGCCGTGGCCGAGGCAGAAGGGCGAGAACGGCAACAGCCCCTTGCACTGCATCTGTGCAGCGAAGTTGAAGGACAAAGTCAGGGTTCGGGGATCGATTACGAAAGCAAAATCACGGCTACTGTACCTCTATTTGTGGTCCAGTACCTTCAGTACGTCCCCATGCACCCGGACGTAGCAATGGTATGCCCTCGCTGCAAGGAAACGGTTGCGTGATGACTGCAAGGCAGCCATTTGCTCCTTGGTTGCAAGTTGCGCATGCCCACGGAGAAAGTGGTTACCACAAATTGGAACGTCCTGGCCTGGCCTTTCCCAGAGGCACATTGTAATTGGCAACTGCTTGGAGATGTTGCTCAGTTCTGGCTTGAAAATAAGACGGCATCTCCTGCGGAACAGAGAGCAGACTCTTCGATTTTCCATCTTCAGGCAAGAAAGACCATGAGTGGCCCGAGAACAGCTTTTCGTCAGCTTGCCAATCTTCCTCCACATAGTCGGATAGGTTGAGCGCAACACCCAGACTGGTCGATGCCACAATTGCCTGCAAAAAAAACTCAAGCAATCCATTCCTTGGGTTGGCAGCCTCGGCAACTCGCAGGTCTAGTCTACTAGACTTGATGTGACCATGGCTGACCTCGCCTGGCACAAAATAAGCCGAGGTGATGCGAAGCAATGCCTTAAGTCAGCCCGCCTGGCAGAAAAGGAGGCGACTGCGGAAAGGTGTCCCGGGCTGCAAAGTCTGCCTGCAAGATGTGGCCTCGGATTGAGGATTTGCAGGGTCCAGGGTTTGTGCCTGAGATTCTCCCATGTAGCTGCAGCTCCTAGCACGGGCCTCGAGATGTTAGTCTTAAGCCTGATGAGCCAAGAGTAACCTCTCTTGCTTCCTCTTGAAGCTTCGAAGGACCTCTCTGTACAAGCACTACGCAAAGGCAGACGCCCCTCGCCGGCAGCGTGCCAGAAAGTCTCCGAGACTCGTGATTCGTTTGTGGCCGCAACAGACGAGTCTTGGGAATATCGAGAACCCGAGACCTACGTCCTGTCATGCTAAGTCGCCCACAATTACTATGTCCCGATCGTGACCTTGAAGCGTTTCGAGAAGCTCCTCGCTAACGCGAGACTCCCCAAGGAGGGTCTGAAGGACGCGCTGAAGTTCGCCAAGTCTGCAGAGCAGGCTTCAGCGGCTGAGCGCCAGAAGGCGATTGCTGCCATCAAGGCCCTGGGTGGTTGAGGGTATATAGGCCTCTCGGACTCTAGCTGAACGGTCTTCACTAGAAGATCCATCCCTGTCTCGAAGGCCCTGAGAGCCGAGGAGTACGATGCCAACCAGGCCCCCGCACGCGAACGGGGATGATGGTCTTGTCATTGAAAATATGTGTGCCTCTTCAGTTCGACTGCCATTTCGGATGAGCTAACGATAGGCCATCCGTAGCTGGGAGTTACTGCGTCGTCGATTCGTGCTCTGCTTTGGAAAATCGCGTGCTCTGAAACGACTGCCGTCCGTGTTGCGTTATCCTTGAACGAACATGGGTTCAGCCTTGCTTCAGGTAGTGGAGGCCTATGAGCCTTGGCGAAGAGGGCAGTCAGTGGAACGTATGGGCCACCCTCACAAGCATGTATCCCAAGTGCAGCGTAGCTTTACGGTTGTTTTCGTCTGTGAGCTTCGAAGTCTGAGAGGAACTGCTCTAGGGCTCGAGGGCGACATATTGTTCTTGAGATGCCGACGACCCTCACTTCACAAAGCTATGAACAATTCAGTCATTTTCAGCAATTTCAAACAACCAAGTCTTGGGTGTTGTCAGTCTCACGGCTAAGGAATCCAAGAAGCGAGCGCGACAAGATCAACAAGACGTGGCGTAGGCAGCCATCATCTTGAGGCTGACGCCCAAAGCATCTTCTAATGAATGGAGACACCCTAAACCCTGCACCCTAAACCCTGGCCTCCTGTCCTGCTTCTTCCGGTCTAATCTGCTGGCAATATCGTCGGTCAGACCTATCACATCGGTGTGTTTGTTTGAGATTCAGGCGTGGTTCTGGCCACTCTTAACAGAGCCTGCTGCAGATCATCCCTCAGCACTCCTGATCGTTGGAAGCCGCATTCCCAAAGGGAATTTGCCGAATGGGCTTGTGCAACACCTAGCCTGTTCATACATATGTAGCTGACGTGTAGCCAGTGAGTCGTCAGCGAGGAAGCCGTCATTTTGCCATCAGGGTGCTCTTTCAAAGTGTTGGACGACCAAGAAGTGGCCCTGTACATACTTGTACAGTTCGATGCCAGAACAGCGTTGTCCGATGTGAGGACACCACGGGAGCAAGTTCAGGAAGACTCGTAAGGCTGCCAGCAGTCTACGGTCATGTAGCCGAAGCATGATTCCTGTAGACTTCTTGAAACTGCTCCCACGCGAGCGGGGCCAAAAGGTTGCGTCTATGGTATACTGTATTCGTGAGCTGTCCAACTACAGTTTCGAGAGACCTTCAATCATCGGCACCAATTGGGTCCTTGAGTGAGGCAACTTGCGATATTCTTCGCTGCCTAGGATTCACGAATGGGATGGCATGCCAAAAGTTTAGATCGATGTATCTTCTATAGTTGCGTTTGTTTTCTGGCTACTGTGCTGCCCCAGGCCTTCGATCCCAGCGATGGGCGGTGGCAGCTAGCACTTGCAGCCCGGGCCCCGGAAAATCAAGCTTCTCGTCCGACCACGTGGCTATGCGCCCATTAAATTGAGCTACCGCCTCAGTGCAAGTGTGAGAGCCAAAGTCTTTTTTAGCTAACGTGCTGGGTAGGACTCATGTACCATGCACGGTTCGGAGTGATAGTAACAACTTCAGCAGCAACGTCTGTAGTAGTAGCTAGTAGGCCTCTCGTAACAAGACTGACAGTTGCACAGCAGGGAAGTGGACGTGATGAGTCAAGCACGGGTTTGGGCGGTCGTGCCGGTGCGCGCGTCGTTCGTGATTGCCTTGGCGAAGGTGTTTGCTGCTTGTCGGCAGAATTTTCGGAGCCCCTGCCCTCAGCCTCATGCTTTTCGTAAGCTTTTCCGTCTCGATCACGGAAACGGTCGCCACCCCCCGCCATCTTCATCGTCATCAGAAGCTAGTCCTACCCTGCACCCTGAGGATGGCAAAGGCACTATTCGGGTCCGGCCCGAGAACGTCACGCCGGAGCCCGAGCCCAGCGGATCAAAGGTGCGACGGGCAGCAGGTGCTGGTGGTCCCAAACAGGAAGCTTTCTCTGACGAGGGCATGAAGCTTGGGCATTCCTGCGCCAGAAGCCACCTCAAAGCTGATCCCAGAACCCGGGAAGTTTGAGGCGTGTGGGGCACCAGGGAGCTTAGGGCATACCTTTTGGACACAACTTATCATCGTGCTTAGTCCCTGCTGCTGAGGCTTGAACCTGAAAGCAAAGGTTCTTCGTCGTCTTCGGGCGCCACTGCCGAGTCGGGCCCTGTAAATGCCAGACTTGCGCGCCACAATTGAACAGCTTCACAAGCCGAACGTGTCAACCCTCTACTTTTGTTGTTTGAGGGGTGCGGGCAAGCTTCGGAAACTGTGTTGAACGAATGAATGGTCTGTGAACAGCGACGGGGCGCAGAACACAGCAGTTCAATGCTCAGGAAAGCTGAGCTAATACAATCCACATGCTCCCAGCTCGGGCTCGGGGCCTCCCGAAAAGTCTGGTTTAGGGCTTGTTTGTCAGGGTTCAGTGTTCAGGGTATATAAGGGTTACGGCAGGAAGTTTCGGGGCGGCATTTGAGTCCTCATATAATATCACGGCCTAGGCCTATGTTGGTCTACAGTTGCATCGCAGCGAGGTCGGACATACCTGAGGAGTTCCGCTGTGTAATCACCAGGCGCATTTGTGCAGATGCAGGCATGCTCTTCACACGACCCGCCCTTTGGTCAGTTTTCGAGATAACTTGTAAGCAGTTGTACAGGACTTGTCACACAGCTGCTGTTTCGGAGCCTGGCTTGCTGATGCAGGGACCTCATGGAAAGGCCAGTCATTACCTCTGACGGACCCTGCCTCAGAAAGCGAACGGGATTGGCTCTCACAGCAGCCTGGGAGGGTTTCGCGACATGGTCATAGGAACTTGAGGTAGCGCTTGTCTAGTGACTAGTGCGAGAATTCGTTCTCTTTTGTTCGACGGGGTTGTGCAGAAGGTGAGAGCATTTTGCTTGCTGTAAGGCTGATGGAGACCTGACGAGATAATAGTGTGCAGGTGTGGCAACAACAACATGCGGCCCTGGATACTACAAATCCGCATCGTGAGGGTTTGCCGGCTGCGCATGACGACTTGCACAGGTCACACCTACGAGCGGAGCGCGATCGCCAAGTGGCTGGAGGACCCCGTTCGTCCTGAGCTGCTCAGTGAGCGACAATCACGGGAGCAGAGCTGCTCCAGCCGGCAGCTGGCACGTGGATCATCGCTTTAGATCTGCACAACGAGGAGCACAGCACATCGCCCAAGACGGGCCAAGAATTGCCGGACAAGGCGGCCGAATTAGAGGATCAGTCTGGTGGTGGGGTTAGCAGTAGTTGCAGCTGTTTTTTGTAGGGTGTCAGCGAGTGCTCAAGGGTCAAACTTACATCTTGCAGCGATGCAGCCCTGTGCAGCCTCGAAAACGGCTATGTGCAGCTTGGGACATGTTGAGCTGCTCCAATGTGTAAACTGGGCCTTCAGGTTTCAATTTGTAGAAGCCGCTGCTTGCTTACTTGGCCTTGCCACATGGCCCGATGCCATATAAAAGCGAGGTAAGGATTTGCATATTGAAGCCCTTACCTCACAGCCTCAGTCGGGGTTAAGCGGAAGGCTCGGAAGCCCAAGTAAAGCTCGCCTCCCCCCCTGGTCGGAGGTCTTGCGGCCTAACCACGCCCTCCGAGCCCAGATCATCGCATACCGGGACATCTGCCGGTGGCGTGGGGTAAGGGGGTGATAAAGCTGGGATGATGTTGCAGCTGTTAGGCATCGAGGCTTTCCGTCACCAGTATTTTGCGCTGTGGCTGGCTCACAGGATCAACCTTCCAACATTACCACTGCCGGTGTTGTCAGGCAGTTTCCTGAGCGACTCGCAGCACTTGCATTTAGGCCATAGGCCGGTGTCAAGTCATTTTTGCTGGAACAACGCATGACAGATCTATGTCTTGTCATGACATGGTAATATCATGACATTTGACGACGATTTACACAACTGCAACATCAGTCGCGACTTTCCCATGTAGAGGACGTGAAAAATGTTGACAGCTCTTGTTTTTCAGATTGGGCGCAGCATGGTGCGCGCCGATGACTGAGATGGGTAATCGACTATCATTTGCGGAGGCTCGGAGCTTTTGCCCCTAACCGGCCTACTGTTACTTACATGGGTAGGTTTGGGGTGCATGCATTGGTGACTGTATTTGTGTCCGCCTGTGTTCGTGCGTATGCATGTAATCGGAAGCGCATTTAGCATAGGCTGACATATGCATGCTTGCCTGAGACGCACATGCAAAAATACCGTAAGTGTGCATGAGTGAGAAAGAGATTGTGGGAGGAAGGAAGGAAGGAAGGAAGTGAGCAAGCCAGCAAGTCAGGGTCAAAGTGGGCATGTGTGTGTGTGTGTGGATGGCTGGATGGCTAGCCGGATGAACCGGTGCGGGAAGCACGCGTTGTTGCACAGGGTGGAAGGCATGTTTGCGTGAGAGATACAGACAGACACAGACAGACACAAACACAGACAGACACTAACACAGACAGACACTAACACAGACAGACACTAACACAGACACAGACAGACACAGACACAGACAGACACAGACAGACACAGACAGGCACAGACAGACACATTCAGACACAGACAGAGACAGAGACAGAGACAGAGACAGAGACAGAGACAGACACAGACACAGACACAGACACAGACACAGACACAGACACAGACAGACACAGACTGACACAGACTGACACAGACAGACCCA